CTATTAAGACAACTGCAACATCCCTCTGCAGGGGGAGTTTAGTCAGAGATAAGATCTGCCCCTCCATTCCTGCGTGTGGGAAATGCTTTCTGCACCACCAGCCTCTGCTTCCAGAACGACCCTGGCCAGGCCGGCCAGAAGCTGGGAGAGCATGGTTGTTAGCACAGCTTCTGATCAAAAGATTTATACAGTTGAATTATCAAATAAAATCCAGAATCAATGCTCTGGCACAGCTGCAATAACAAAACAAAAGAAAAAAAATATTTTTTAACTTATCAGTAGTTCCTCTAACTTGGAACAAAGGAGTTTTTTATATCCAAAATATCAAATGCTTGAGTCATCCACAATAGAGAGATCTGTAATACTGTATTTTTGGATCAGAATTGGAGGCAATTATAACAGTGGCTAGAGACAAAAACCAGCAGACAAGGGTGTTTCAATTCTAGTCATGGATGATAAACAGTGAGGAGGTGAAATGCTGCAGCTGCTGAGTGATAGAGATTGCTATCAGGATTAAACAGGAAGGCTGTGTTTTACTGGATCAAGAAAGATTAGCCATGTGTTGAATATGGGATTATGGAGTAATTAAATAAATGAAGACACATTTCTGACACAAATTCTACAAGTAGGAATGTAATTACTCACTTTATAGACAATGTTGCTGTAATTTATCTCTCAGGTCTTTGACTGGCAAGCAGAGCAGCCTGTTTTATACTCAGTGAAGGCAACCATGCTGAAGGCACCAAAGGACCAAGTCTACTGTGCTAACAAGTGTGTTTTACAGGGGTGAACTAACTGCTCCTATCAGTATTTGACGGGTAGAACTCCTACAAGTTTTGGTGGAAACTTCTGCAGCTTTTTACCAGGCAAGGCTGGCAATTCATGAGTTGAAGAATTGGTTAAAGGAGGATTAAGTTGGTCTGACCTCCAGTGGGATGAAGGAAGGAGTAATTAGTGCACCTATGCAAAACTGTCATGGGGTATAAATGTCCTCCCATATTTAGCAGGGAATGTGGTTTGTGTGTGATGGTGCTGAAAGGCAGAGATACCTGGGGAGAAACATCAGTCAAAGGGAACTGTGTGTAGATTTCTGCAAGCTCCCTGGGGAACCTCTTAGCCACGAGATTTAAAATGGTGCAAGATCTTTAATGTCTGTGCAGAAGAGACAAATTCTCTATTGTTAAAAGCCTCCCAGAAAAAGGCCCGTGCAGAACAAACTGCACGGTGCTCTGTTAATATAAGGAAGAAAGGAGAAAGCTTGTGTTGACCCTGCCAGCTGGAAGTCACATAAACCTTATCTCCCACTGAAACTATCAGTTTGTAGGATGGTCTGAGCAAAATAGAGAGAGACTGGAGAGGAATATGTACCCTGGACCACCATCTGCACGATGGTGCAGTCCAGCACAGGAGGGAGGGTGGAACAAGGCCTTTAGATGAGGATTTACATCCAAATCTGCAGGGTTTTTGTTTGGATTTCTTCTATTTGTTGCTTTTATTGGGTTGTATTTTGCCCTCCTGCAGGCACACAGCTTTCATTAGATTCTGTGTGCACCAAGGGGAGGATGCAGTGCGGGGTACTTACATGCACATGTTTGTTCTCTGCTGCTAAAATTAATAAAACCTCCCTGGTTTTGTGGGTTTTGTTGGGGTTTTTTTGTGGTTTGTTTGTTTGTTTGTTTTTGGTTTTTGGTTTTGTCTTTTTGTTTGTTTTGTTTTGTTTTTTTTCAATCCCAGAGGCTTTTATTGTGGTTACATGACATTTGGGAATGGTATTTAAAAGCAGATCTAGGAATAGATCTGTATACTGAGTTCAGTGCTCTGATGTAGCAGTAAAAAATGAATAAACATGACCCCTTTCTGTGTTACTAAAGAAATGCCTAATGTGTCTGTCTGGAAATGTGGAATTAACCTTGTTGACAGTTTTCTTAGAGAGACAAGACAGTATTTACATGACAGTTTAATGAACCATGTTTGAAAAATGTCACATGGAACAGTAGTCAGAGCTGTATTTAAAATGACCAGCACAAGTACACATCCTCATTTTTGGGCATCGTCTGAAATAGCAGGGATGAGTTTTCTCTTCCATCAGGTGCAGAGAATGAGACCCTCAACGAGAGCCCTCCCTCCACGTTTTGCAAATTAACTGTGGGTGTGGAAAAAACCTCTTTCCTAACCCTTGAAATGCTTAGAAGTAAAAGGAAGAAGAATATCTTCCTCCCAATATTTGGGGATGGGCAGAGCATCCACTCCCAATCCCAGCTCCTCCCTCCCACCTCCTCTGTTGGCAATGGAGAACTTCCTTTTTTCTTGCTGGAGAAGGTAATTGCAAAATGATTGACTCAATACAGTCGTACTCTACTGAGGGCTTGTAAAAGCTGGGGTTTGACAGGGGTTTTATGTCTTTAAGGCCACTTTTATGTCTCTTCAGACTGCAGTGGTAGTGAAGACTTCACTGATGATCTCTCCCAAGAGGCTGTCCCCAGGTGTCCTCACAGACACCATCCCAAGGTAAACTCACAGACCTCCTCCCCAGGGTTCCTCACAGAATCACAGAACAGCTGTGGTTGGAAGGGATCTCTGGAGATCATCCACTCCAACTCCCCTGCCAAGGCAGGGTCACATGGAGCAGGTGATGCAGGATCACGTCCAGGTGAGAGCGTAATGTCTCCAGAGAAGGAAACTCCACACCTTCCCTGGGCAGTTCTTCCAGTACTCTTCCACTCTCAATGCAAAAAAGTTCTTCCTTGTGTTGAGGTGGGACTTCTCGTGTTTTAGTTTATGGCCATTGCTCCGTGTCCTGTTGCTGGGCACCACTGAAAAGAGTCTGGAACCATCCCCTGACACCCTTCTTTGAGATACTTATATTTATATTCTTCTGGCATTGGTGACGGGCCTCGATTTGAAGCTGTGTGAGGAGTGGTTGAGGGCACTTGGTGTGTTCAGCTGGAGGAGAGGAGTCTGAAGGGAGACCTCACTGCAGTTACACCTTCCCAGGATGGGCAGAGGAGGAGCAGGACTGAGCTCTGCTCTGGGGGGGCCAGGGACAGCCCCCAGGGAATGGCTGGAGCTGTGTCATGGCAGGTTCAGGTTGGTCAGGTTGGATCTCAGAAGGTTCTTCCCTCAGAGACTGGTTGGGTGCTGGAATGAGGCAGTGCTCACAGCACCAAGGCTGACAGAGCTCAAGGAGACTTTGGACAATGCTCTCAGGTGCAGGGCGTGACTCTTGGGGATGGTCTTGTGCAGGGGTGAGGGTTGGACTCAATAGTCCTTGTGGGTCCCTTCCAACGTGGCGTATTCCGTGACTCTGTGACATATGTACGTTTCCTCGGAGCCCCCTCCTCAGGATCGCTCAAACCCTTCATCCCCTTAACCCCTCATCCCCTCGTCCCCTCATCCCATCACTCCCTTCATTCCCTTCATTCCCTCATCCCCTCACTTCCCTCATCCCCTCACTTCCCTCATCCCCTCATTCCCTCATCCCTCATCCTTCATCCCCTTATCCCCTCACTCCCTTCATTCCCCTCATTCCCTCATTCCCCTCCCGGCCCCTCCCTGTGCTGCCGGGTCCCTCTCTGCCGGCAGGGGGCGCCAGAGCCCGGCCGCGCCCGCCCCGCGCGCACCCGCACGCGCGGACACGGCGGGAGGCGGCGGCGCGCGCAGAGAGCGGGGACAGACAGAGGGGACAGACAGAGGGGACAGACAGCGGGGACAGACAGAGGGGACAGCGGGGACACACAGCCGGGACAGCGCCTCCGGGACCGCCGCCCAACAGCGGCACCGCACAGCGGAGCGGAGGCAGCGCGGGGAGGAGGAGCAGAAGCAGCAGCATCAGCAGCGCACGGTGCCCGGAGCCCCGGCCGGCCGCGCTGCCCGGAGGTAGGGGCTGCCTGTCCGCCCTGGCACCCAAACTTCTCGGGGCCAGCGCTGGCTCGGCTCGGCTCGGCTTGGGGACCACCGTGCTGGTCCCTTCCTGGCCCCGGTGACCCGCTCTATCTCTGTTTTTATTATTGTTATTATTATCGTTATCACTGGCGCTGTCCCCCCGCCCCTCCGCGGCGGGGGCTCGGCGGGCGCGGCAGCTCCGCAGCCAGAAGTTGGCGAGGAGCGCGAGGGGCGACTGGCCCCAACTTGGGTCCCCTCGAAACTTCCCTGCCCGCGGAGCCACCGCCCCTCTCCGCTCCCCTCCGCTCATCCCCGCTCCTCCGCTCTCCTTGCAGATGTCGGGGGTGCTGCTGATCGCTGCCTGGTGCTTCCTGCAAGTGGAGAGCCGGCATCCTGAAATCATCACGAGTAGCAGCAATCATGGCAATTTCCTGGACAACGACAAATGGCTGAGCACCGTCTCGCAGTACGATAAGGACAAGTACTGGAACAAA